CAACATGTTCCCATATCCCACCACCAAAGAATAATGCTATTGTCTAAACTGCTTACGATCATCAGTCTAGGCATCAGTAAATTCGAATTAAATGCTTGAACCTATTTAAAGTAGGAATATAATCCTGTTAAGATCTTCAATCTATTATTCTGTTAATTGAAACCTAATATGTTGACCATAAGTGTCTAGGTAAATAGTATTACTCACAACCAACCACGAAACTAGTCCATTAATATCATAATATTGGAAACTCATTTCCAAAATCCACGTTATGGATATGTGAGTTACTCGTGTTAATTTAGTAGTTTGAGGACTAACTTGCATATTCTTAGAACTTGAGAATAACCAATTTCGGATGATTATGGAGGTCGAAAACCGACGTGTAAGCTTTTGAAAATTTTGAGACCAACATTGAAGATTTGGATTAAAAAAATGGATAAAAAAATTGATGAAAAGTTTAAATAGAGAATTCTTCAATTTTGAAATTCAAAGTTTTATTTCAATCTTGTAACATCAATTCTTATATTTCAATAAAATTAATTCTTTATTTCAACATTTGTCTATTTCCACTTCTAATCTACATCCCTTGGGCTATTTTGGGGGGTGGGGTGGGATGGGGTGGGGTGTGTGTGTATATATATCACTTGGTGATTAAAAAAAATAAAAAAATAAAAAAAAGGAAAGGAAAGGAAAAAAACGAAACGATAACAAGGAAAGAAAGGAATCTACATCTGAGGGCCAAATATTTAACAAATTAAGGGATTAAGTCATTTTTTGTTTATTTTGATCCAGTCATGGTTTGCAAACAGTAGTTTGATACGTCTGCAACTATTTTTGAGAATTTACTTAGAGTGTATTCAATTGACTTTATTTTCTATGGAAAATGTCATTTTGATTCACAATTTTTTCATAAAAAATATTTTTCAACTTTTGGTCACGTGGCTATATTTTCCTCAAAAAATAAGGATGACATTTTCTTTTGAGAACGATAATTTTTATTTTTCAGGTAATTCACTCTCTCGTTCTCTATCTCATCTATCCACTCTATTTCATCTACCCATTAATAAAAAATGGACAATTATAATATTATTTAGATTGAAAACTAAATCAATCAAACATATTTAATCAATAATTTTCATACAAATAAGTTCTAGACAATTGAATTGTCTAAAAATTTTTTTTTTAATGCAAATTCTGTTGGGATCAACAGATTATAGAGAATGAAGTTAATGACGCGATATGAAGTATTAAGGATTACAACAATATAAAAATATATCAAGGTATAAAGTAAAGAAGAAAAAAGAGGAATTAACGCAAATATAAGATGTATTATTAATTAACAATGTGGAAAGAATACAACGCCACAGCAATTTTGGCTTCAACTAAACTGAAAGAGGAGACCTATATTTATAGTACACGAGTCAAACCCTAAAAATAGGCAAAAGATGAAAATTAAGAAGAAAATCATGTAAAAGGAAAAGAAAGGAAAAACGTGTGGCACACAAGAAAATTTGTTTCCTTTCTTGGCTCCAATTTGATTCTTTCCATATCCTTCTTGAATCCAATATGGTATCTTTCCAAAACCAACATGATCACGTAATCTTCCAAATATTTGACCAAATTTTGAGGCATATAATAAATAATCTCTACCTTAACTCAAAATTTCGGTGCAACGAACGAAACTCCAAGATTTCAAATCCATCTACATCGAAATAACCAATCTCCTCAACACAGTAGCCAAAACTCTCCATCACCGAAACCATTTTCCTCTGCAAGGCATTCACAAACGACACCTGAACCCAAATCCCAGGTACCCAAAATTCCACCAAGGAATTATTGTTGACCAAATAGGGTCGAAGCACACCCTGTAGCAGACACCAAACCAAGTGCTTGATCAGAAGGTCCCTTGTCAAAACTGTCACCTTCAACGATCCCAAAAGCATCACAAACATCAATAACACCACGGTACCTACGCTCCATGAGTCCACCCCTGACATTTGAACATAGTCCATCTGCTGAAATTGGTGGCAAAGCGGAATCAGCAACGCTCTCTTTAGCTGTGTTCAGAACCGACCCAGAGCCCAACACAAGAGATACTGCACCAAACTGAATATCCACCACGTTATTGAACTTGTCCCGATGTCTCAAAACTGATTCAGCGCTTCCCTACAATATGCACAACTGGGATCTCTTTCGTCCCTCCAGTACAACCCGGACACCCTTTCGAACATTCAAGACTCCACCTCCACCAAAAAATTTATACCCTTTTGCATCCAGGGTACTTAGCGAGATAGATTTCTCTTCAGATCTGGAACATGTCGAACCTGACCAAGTGTTCTAACTGTCCCATCTTGCAACCGCAATCTAACTCGATCGATTCCAGCAATACAGCAAGACTCATTGTTTTCTATTATAACTCCACCTTGCTGAACAGTCTCATATGTCTGAAATAAATTCCTATCGGAACACATATGGTGCGAACATGCCAAATCAAGAATCCACTCCTCGTCAGGCTTATATTCTACGTCAGAAACCACAGTCAACATCACATCTCCGCCATCCAAAAAATTCTCGGTAATATTAGTCTCGTCCGAATTCCATGATTGCCCCCTATGATTTGCAGCTAAATCACCTTTAGCCTGCAACTTATCACAATTCTTTTCCAAGTGTCCTTTCCTTCTACAGTAGAAGCAATACACATTGTTGCCCCTCCGTCAATCACCAGGAGATACAAAAGCTTGCCCATCCCTTGATGTAGCTCCAACCAGATGCTTCAACTTCTCCTTCAAATGTAAAGCATCATAGACATCGTCTATAGTCAACATATCCCGGCTGTACAAAATGGTGTCCCGAAACGATGCATAAGAACTAGGCAGCGAACATAACAGAATCAAGGCCAGATCCTCTTCATTGTATTTAACCTCCAATGTCTTTAAATCTGCGATAACCTCCTTGAACACAGCAATATGGTCTTCCAACGACCCTCCTTCCGCCATGCGATGGGAATACAACTTCTGCTTTAGAGCTAGTTTGCTAATAAGACTCTTGGTCATGCACAACTGCTCCAATTTCAACCAGAAAGCATCAACAGTTTTCTCCTTCAAGACATCCTGCAAAATATTGTTGGATAGATGAAGATGAATCAATGACAAAGCCTTCTGATCCTTCCGTTGTTTCTCCTCCGTTGTCCAATTAACTGGTATCTTCTCAAAACCCAGCAAAGCATCGTCTAAATCAAATTGCGACAAAATAGCCCTCATCTTTATTTGCCACGACGAAAACCTTGTATTGCGATCCATCAGCGGAATATCAAACTTTGTGGCAGCCATCTCTGAAAAACTTCAACCAATCCACAAAAGATCCAAACTCTGATACCACCTGTTGGGATTGACGGATTGTAAAGAATGAAGTTAATGACGTGATATGAAGTATTAAGGATTGCAACAATATAAAAATATATCAAGGTATAAAGTAAAGAAGAAAAAAGAGGAATTAACGCAGAGGTAAGATGTATTATTAATTGACAATGTGGAGCGAATACAATGCCACAGCAATTTTGACTTCAAATAAACTGAAAGAGAAGACCTATATTTATAGTACACGAGTCACACCCTAAAAATAGGAAAAAGATGGAAATTAGGAAGAAAATCATGTAAAAGGAAAAGAAAGGAAAAACGTGTGGCACACAAAAAAAATTGTTTCTTTTCTTGGCTTCAATTTGATTCTTTCCATATCCTTCTTAAATCCATTATGGTATTTTTCCAAAACCAACATGATCACATAATTTTCCAAATATTTGACCGAATTTTGAGGCATATAATTAACAATTCTATACTCGCAATTGAACGCACCCTTAATACTTTTGGACCCCTTTTCGAAGAACAACTTCCAAGGCACTTCAATCACTATACAATGACCTTGTTTGAGTTAAATTAAAGAGAAGAAATGTTTCAAAATCTAAAATTAGAGTTAAAAATCAAAGAAAAATCAAGAAATATGGTTTTCAAGATTTAGAGTGGAAAGGAGATTTTAATGCAAGATCATCAATTTTTTTATTTTTCTAAATTTTTTAGAAAAGTGGTGATGTACACCAATTTCTTCTTGAATTTTTCTTCTACACGATACGAAACTATATTTATAGTTGGGAATAGCGACGTAATCTAGTTTCAAATCATTAATTTCAATTCTCAAAATTTTTGAATTTTATTTTTTCATGTGTTGATTTTACTTATATTCTTTATTGTTTTTGAAGTAAGTAACTACTGTTTCAATGATTTATAAATTTGAAACAATCAAAGGGACAAGTCAAATTTAGATCACCTAGTAAAAATCAATAATTGGATAAAAGCTAGAGAGATACTTTTATTATCATTTCGATTTTAATTGAATTACTAAGTATTTTACATCATGTTTGATAACCATTATTTTCAAACTCATTTATGTGGAGTAGGTGAGCGCAGAAGTCTTTTGTCACAAGTTCAATTCCTCCTACCAACACTTTATCGATCGAGTCTATCACACAGGGTTTACCTAGTCGATTTACTTGATTGTATAGTTTGCAGACTATTGCGTCAGTCCGAGGGTTTACCTAATGTGCACCTGAAAGGTGGCGGCTGCGGGTTCCCCCATCATAAAATATATATATATATTCTACACGTAAATCCAAAATTTTTTCATGCTTCTTAATTACACATTCTCCTAAAAAATACTATTCAAAACTTTATTTTGTGTTTAATTGATACTTAATCTAATTCACATAGAGATACATAGTAACTTGACTCGGCCAAATATTTAAATCAGAGAGAAATAATTTGATCTAATTAGTGAGTCTAATAGATTACGATTTTAGGAATTGAACTAGAGAGTCGATTAAATGAAATAACTACGATGAAATCATGAATTCTAACAGTTTCGTAAATAAGTTAAAACCCTAAATTGATACTTGCACACGGTTTAATTATTTTCATAGATTTATAACTATTTAGCATTACGAATAAAATAAAGTTTTATTGTTTTACTCGAATCAAAGTTAGGAATAGTTAAATCAATATTTAGATACTATAATACTCGTGTGAATGATAATCCGAACTTTTAGGTTCATTTTATTACTTGTTAATCGATATCGTACATTTACGATAAAAATACGAAATAGTTGGATTGAGTAAATTCCAGTTAGCTAAATGGACTTGTTATTCTCTCATAAATACCCTCACCATCCCTCAAAAGTTTCCTCCACCGACAGTTTTTCAAATCATATTTATAAGCATTTATACATTCAAAAATTTATATACACACACATATGTGGGTGTATGTGCACACATTAAAATGCTGAACATTGTCTAACAATTTGATAACACTTCCTGAAACTCGGGTCGGACTGGTAACATAATGAAACAAAAATAAGATGAAGTTCCCAGAAAAGTCACACATTAATGATCCCTACCAATGTCAAAGGCAATAAATTATTTCCTAACCCATAGGCTAATTAAGCCTATACCCATTCTTAATTTGTCTAAACATAGTCCCGTCTGACAAATTTCAATTCTTTGCTATCATCATCGTAATGTGTCATTGTATAGTTGTCAATGAGTTATGCTACAGTTATAAAGGGTTGACAAAGTGGATTACAAAATCACATCCATACCAATCATTTCAAAAATAAATCTTTAAATCATTTGAAATCAATGATCTTAATTTTGTCAACACACTTTGTAACTCAACTTTGTACAAGTAACTTTATTGAGTTGTCAATTGTCACTGTGTGACCATCATGAATTATTTTTTTATTTGTTTTCTATCATCGCATTGAAATGTAATCTTAGCCCACGTTTTCTAGAAAATGAATGGAATAATATTTTTTTAAAAAAATAAGTGGTTAAAAAAGAATGAAATATTTTCGATTTATGTGTAATATTATTTTATGGCCCCGTTTGGTACATATTAAAGTAAAAATGAAAATAAAAATTATAGTCGTTGTGGGCCTCATACAAAATATAGAAAGTCAAATATGATGACTTTATATAACGGATAACGATCATATTTTTCATTTTAATAGGCAAATAATAAGAAATAAACAGGGGCTATGAAAGATTGAGTGGTTGAAATAGGAGAGAGAAAAATTAAATATAATGTAATAGAATTTAATGAGGATCAAACGAGTTTTTATAGTCGTCAGTTTTCACCACGTATAACCTTCATAAATTATTTGAATTTACATATATTGTGCACTTGAATGTGCACTGGAAAAAGTGATCAAACCGTACATATATGTATTTGGACGCATGGAACTATTATATCTAGGTAGATATGGCCAATGTACTTGTTCTTCGAATTCCTACTTTAGAGCCCGTTTGCCAAAATTTCCGCTTTTTATAGAAGAATTTTTTGAAAAAGATATATTAAGTCAACATTTTCTTATGGCCAAACAAAACACTTCCAATAATTATCCGTACATATTCAAAAGTAACTTGTCAGTCTCATAAGTAATTTTTAACTTTTTAAAAGTTCTGTCAAACGGACTCTCTATGTGTCTAGCTTATGGAATAAGTTGAATCATTCCAGAAATTATAGTAACTACAAAAATTGGTTCAAGAGGTTCAAAACAAAAGTATATAGGAAATCTGGTTAGATCCTCCCACCAAAAATTTGCTTTTGAAATTAAAAAAACTATTTTTAAACACATTTAAATAGTTTTCTGAAAGTATTTTGTGTAGTTAAAAGAGTTTTTGAAGCAAACTAAGGGATTGTTCTTTTAGTGTTTCAGTTTTGTAGTTTTGAGTTTTGAAATCATTTTGGATTTTATGTTTTGAATGTCTGTTTTGAAATTATTGAAAATGTGTTCTTTTTGCCATTTTTGAACCATTTCCTATGTTTTTAATTTTTTTCAGTTTTGTACGGAAAACACTCAAAACTACAAAATTGTCGTTTTGTGTTTTCTTTACAATTTTTTTTTTATTCGAAAATTCGTTTTCGAAAACAAGAAAGAAAACGTGTTTTGACCTTTTCAAAAAATTGAAAATAGAAAACGACCCAAAAACGACAAGACAACACACCCTAATCTAATACAATTTTTTCAAAAAGTAATTTTACACGCAAAAGCAAAATAGAAACTCTGCCAAATGGGCTATAAGTCCCATCCAATATACAAACCTTATAATCATAATTAATAATGAATAAAATAAAAAAACGTGCCTTACTTTAATGGGCTAGTAATTAATTTCTTCCGTGATCAACGGGGAGCCCTGACAACCGGGGACCCAAATCATAATGAGAGTTACCCACAAGAAACTGCAAATTATATTGTAGTCCAATGCACGTAAAATATGTACATAAAAAAGTGTTGAGAAAAATATAGGGAAATTTAAATAGGCACGAAAAAATTTTATCTTTTAAGAGATATTTCTTCCCTATCCAACAAAGTCACAACTGGGGTATGATAGAAAATCTCTTTCAGGATACAATGAAAACGTTTGATTCAAATTATGATTATTTGATCAAATCAAGAAGACACTCGAAAAGAACTGATTGATGCCAAGAGAAAGAAAGAAGAGTAATTTTTTTAATGTCTTTTGCAAACGAGAATTCGTCCATGTCGATCCCTGTTGCGCAGTGACAAACACTAATCCGGACGGCAAATCATTCGCAAAACAAAAAATAAATATATGCAAAATGATGAAAAATATCTAACAGAAAATTCACACCTTTCACATAGGGATGGGACTCATCTCGCGCAAGTCCCATCTCTATCCCTATATACCTAGATTATGTTTATCAAGCACAACTCATATAATTTTAGGTCAAAATAAGGAAAGCAGTTTACTGCCTTGTGCCTTTGGCGCCCACACACAAGAAACCAACCAAACAAGGACCGTATGATTTAAATTCAGGTCCATTAATCAGTAAAGGACCTTTCTAAATGATTATTCTAAAAGTCGCAATGAATAGCGGGAAAAGTAGGCAGATGCATGTTGTTTAATGGAGTTTCATACGACCATATCAGTGAAGAGAATGATCTCAAAATTCATAAGAGAGAAAAATTAACGAACAAATAAATCCAACTCATTTACATGCTCGACTGAGACATAGTGAAAATTCTATATAAGTGTAGACATAATTCAATATATAACTTATCAAGATTTCCCACGTGAGAGTCCCATTCTGTAATACATTAAGTTTTAAAAAAATAAATAATAAATAATATAGTATATTGAGGCGGTGGAATTGGATTGAATTCCACCCAAACCAAATTAATAACACACAACACATAAAAAAAAAGGGTACAGAGAAGAAGAAGAAAGAAAAAGAGAAAGGGAAAAGAGGAAGAAAAGGAAGAAAAAAGAAAAGAAAAACTCACCAACGTGTTAAGAATTAAGTGGGTTATACTATTAGGCTTGAAAGGTAAGTAAAAGTTACTTACTATCAAGTTTTGTTTGATTTTATAATGGTTAGATTAAATTCAATTTTATTGAATGGGTTAAGTGTAATAAACTATGAAATTGAGTAAAATGAAAAAAAAAAACTAGTTTTAGTTATTAAAGAGACTGTAAAAATCGCTCAAACGTGAAATAATTAAGTTTGGGTATCGCCTATTTAATTATTGAAATTATTTAAAATAATTAATTATTTATTTAAAAATTATATCGTATTTCAAGCAACGATACTGACATTAGAACAGTTTACCAACCGGGTTGATTTTGCGAACATAGTACTATGAGTGAAAAAATATAAATATTTTAAAAGTATTTATGAATTAAGTATATTGTCAAAGTACGTGAAATTATATGCAATTATGTATTCGATTACATAATTATTTTGGAAATATCCTTTCATTATGACATTTGTGGAACTCAAAGATTAGATATGAAAATATCTGTGATGTGGAATGTGAGACATGTGATATTGAGATCGACCAGAAAAGTACCCATGATTACATACTTCTTTTAGTTCACTGAGTGAGCCTTGACCGTGTTCTATACTACATTGAGGGGTCTTGGACCGGATATGAAGGGGTCTCGACCGTGTACATATAGTTCATTGAGGGACCTTGGTCGTGTTCTAAAATTGATTATGAGAGGTTTTTGAAACTGACTTTCGTTCATAGAGGGGTCAAAGGTCCGTGGCGAAAGTGCTTAGCCTGAGGGGCAGATTTTAGTCAGAGGGTACATTTTTGGTTTATCACATGTGATGTGATGAGATGATGACTATATCGTGATTATGAAATGATATTTACAGTATTATAAAAATGACTTACTTTTTGTTATAATTGTACGAGTCTATCATGTGAATATTAAACGATATGAACTGAATGTTTGATAAAAATGTTAAAGTAGAAAGTATAATTATTTTTGAACTCTTCCACTCACTGAGATATAGACTCATATATTTTTTCGTAATTTTCCTACAGGTGAAAATTGATTCTTTTTAGTTGGAGGAGTCTAATGATTTCGGAATAAGAGTCGCAACACATGTTGAATATTATAACTCATATTAATGAAACACAGTAAATATTTTAGGCTCATTGCATTATATTTTATATAAGCATTCGATTTTGTTGTATTTTTTTGAAATAATTCATAATCAACTTTGGTGATAGATTTGACATCTAGTCAGCATGTAACATCGGCGCAATGAAAACTTCAGTGTGAAGCAATAATCATGGAAAGAAAAAAAGGCGCACAAGATTACTGAAACACTATTGTCAAACAAATATAGCAGAATTTGTCTTCTAACCGCTGGAGTAGGCCTATGCCATTAATATGCAGGGAAAAGTAAGCAGAATCACATTAAGAAAATAATCGATTAATTAGCAAATACTACTACTTATCAATGGGATCCAACCCTTTAGTTGGATTCTGCAATAAAAGTATAAATATTCATCGAGGCTTGAGAAAACCCATGAATGATTATGTACACAGATTAATGGATGTACGCCAACTACTATAACAAAATTATTCAATAACTGAGCTAGGAATTTGTAACTCCTATTCTGTTAGTCAAATAGAAAATGCCTACCATATGAACAATTGCCATAAGTTGAACCTACTTGGTTAGATTTTCATTTTCCAGACTATGTTATCAATGCTACTATCATGAATTTTCTCCGCAGCAGCAACTTTCACTCGATGACCTGCAAGGGAAATTGTTGACTTTTCCCTTTCATCCTGAGGGATTTCACAAGCTTCACTTATGGAAGCAGATCTTAAGTCAGCCGGTGGAATAAAACAATCTAGTGATAGACCTGGAACATTGAATGCTACTTCTTCAATTGTCCAAGCTTCTTCCATCCTGGTTTTTGAATGGCTCATTGCCATCTCTCCAAACCGAAAAACAGTCACCACAGAACGCCCAGAGTGAGCAATAATTATTCCTTCAACAGGCCGATAATCATCTAGGCAAGAACTGATAGTAGTCTCCCAGTAAACTGCATCTCCACCATTAGATTGGATGCGAGTAAGATGTGAATCCTCCATATGAACAAGAAGTCCAGTCTTCTGGCTGAAATAACCAAAGAGTGCATGCCTTGTAATCTCTGCTAGTCCTTCACTCCTGGCCCTCAATGTCTGAGGGTCCACAGCCAGCTTCAAAATGAAGCAATCTTCCCCATTCATCTTCTTCTCGCCAATGCAAATGGCATCAGCAAACATACTTGCGATGGTTCTCGGATCAAGACCCTGCAAAACACAAAAACACATCTATATGAGATCAAAAGACTAGGCAAAGCATAATTATATTAAAAACCAAAGCAGTCACATCTCCACCTGAAGAGCACGGCGCAAAGGTCTAACTGGGCCTTTGGCAGTGTGCGCCCCCAGCCAGGGTGTGTGCCTCCAGATCAGCTTGCCATTGCAGCCTGCATGAACTTTGCTTCCCCCAACTGCAAGCTCCACATACCACATGTCGGGATTCATCTGCCAGAGGACAAATCCTCCGGATTCCACAGCTCTAGCAGCATTCCTGTTCTTCACTACCTTCGTCGCTGTTTCAAACTCTGAAGCTACCATTTTCAACTTGCCCATGGCATAAGCATTCTTAATAGAATTGAGGATCTTTTGCCCTCCAGTCGCAGCAGTATACTGATGCAATATATACTGTGCGGATGAAGTTTCCTACAGAAATTACAAATCAATAATATAAAATCGAACTTAACGTACAGAGTAATTCTGAGTCCAGTACTGAGAAAATTGTCGGAAACAAATTATTTCCACCAGTACATGAAAGTGACAAAAACCTTGAACCTGATACTAGAACTAAACTTTCTTGTTTAACATTCCTATAATCCTCTGCCTCCCTCCATTTTTCACTACCACGAAAAAAAATTAAAAAAAATGAACTTTATACTCGCAACATCATTCTTTATTAAAGAAACTGAAAAGAAAAATCTATTTCGGTAGAGAGAGCACTTAAAATATAAACTAACGCACGTAGACAAAAGAATTTCAATCAACTCTAACAATTACACCTAAACAAATCATACTCTGCCAAAAGAATTCTGGAATGATTTGACGATTAAGCATGTCCAGTATACATCATCAACGAAATAAAAAATTATAGCCAATACATAAATAAATGTATGCACAGAATCGGGGAAACATACAATAGAAGAGTCTTTGATGCTGAGATGAGGCCAATGGTCAGTGATGCTAACATGCACCGGCGCAAGGGGGGCACCCATCACCCCAAGCAATAACCTTAGATCAGAGTTCCTGTTACTGTACCCATTCCCATTGGACGCCACTGTGGAAACTGAGGGGTTCCGGGTTAGTTGTCCGATGACCCACTGTCCGACAGAACCGACCCGTTTTGAATCACCGATTTCCCCGCAGCCCGGATCCGGACCCTCAATCAATGGTGCCAGAGTCTCACCCAACGGTTTCAGACTCCCAGATCTTAGAAACGACGACTCCGGATTATCAATAGAACTATTCTTCTTCCTCCGAAGCAGACCAGGACTCTTTGAGCGTGACCTCACAGGAGATAAACCCCGTACAACCTCCTCCTTCAAAGCCGAAAAGAACCCTTGTTTTTTCTCCATCTTCGAACCTGAAAACTCTCAACTATAACGCTAATTTTGTTTCTTAATCTCTATCTCTATGCTTTCGCAAACTTCAGAGTGAGAAAAATAAAGGGCATGTGGGTTTTGTCGTCGTTTCCTATGGGAGCACTCGATTAATATCATAAAACAAATTGTAAACAAAAACTCTCAGAAAATGGTGAGTTGATATATATATATATATATATACACACACACACATAGTAGGAGGCATTGTGGAGGCGGAGGGGGAGGGGGAGGGGGAGGAGGTTTTCTGTTATAGAGAGTGAAATGTAGCGCGTACTGGAGTGGTTTTTTATAGTTAGAGAAGAGAGGAGAAACTCTGGACCGAGTAGAACTGTGAGTGTGAACAAAACGTTGAGAAAAAAGTGGCGTTATTGCAGTCTGCAGAGAGAAATGCACAGAGAGTGTGACGGTGTGAAAATGACTTGTTTATGGAGAGAGAGAGTGCTGGTTCATTGTGATGAGAGGGTCGTCTCACGCGAAGTGAATGCGCGTTTTGGCTAGAATTGTAAGGGACTTTAAAAAAGAATTCAATTATATTATTTTCTATTAAAAAAAACAAAGTTGAACCAAATTTTGAGGAACCCACTACTCCGTCCCTACAGCATTATAAATAAGGTAAATTTTGGGATGTGCCCCAATAGATCAGAGAACAAGGGCTTGTCCATATACTGATGTTCACAAAGAGTCTAATTTCATATCTCAAAATTCGAATTTTCATACTGTGGTTGTCAGCGAAGTTGTGACTATTTCACTCATGTCCTTTGCACCACTAAAATATGCCCCAGGAGCATATTATTTTCTATTTATTTTCAAGTTTGTTTGAAAAAGACTATTTTGTGAAAATAATTTCTTTCAAATAAAAAAACATGAATCTATATACAAAATTATTTTATTTAGATAATATAAATTAAAATTAAATTTGAAGAAAAATGATTTTTTGTTATGAAAAGAGAGGGAAAAAATGATGATAAAAGTTAATAGACTTGTGTGTTCTTTATTAAGATCCAAACCATATATTTATAAGGAATAATTAGGAAAACAATGATAATAAGTTCTAAAGCTACAGTGATAAAATTATCATTCACTAATAAATTTACCACTTATAATACTACCCCTTGAATGACGCATTATATAATATCCGTTTCGTTAAAACATTGTTTGATAAAATTTCAATGGGAAAATGAATATACTTATTTTGGAGCATTAAAAATGAATGTAACCTTATTAAAATCTTGTTGGAAAAATCTAGTGGGATAAACCGTAGCGATGGAAAAAGAGTACATCTACTCTCCTGATGTTGATCACTGAAAATCTTTGAATCGACACATTCCAATCTCATAAACTAATTTCTTGAATGTAGATGTCAATAATGTTTTTGTGAATAAATCGATCATGTTGTCACTTGAGCGAAATTGGTGGACATCGCCATTCTGTTAAAGCTCATGTGTATCAAATTTTTTTGAAGAAATGTGCTTCGTCCTATTACATTTGATATAGCTTCTTTTAAATTGTGTAATACAAGTTGTATTATCTTCATACAAAATTATTGAACTATCTTTTGTTGAAGTTAACCATCATGCTTGCTTGGATATTATGAGTAATGTTCTTTAACCATATATATTCTCGTCTTACTTCATGGATTATAATGATTTCAGAATGATTTGAGATGTTCTTGTCAAGGATTACTTCACATGTTTTTATGATATAGTTGTTTCTTTATGTGTAAACACATATTTTGTTTGTGATTTAGTTTTATGTGGATTAGAGAGCATTCCTGCATTTGCATATTCCACTAAAGTTGATCCCGGCTTTTGAGAATATTATAATCTCAAATCAACAATGCCCTCTAGGTAATGAAAAATATGTTTAGCACCATTCCAATGTTATTGAGTTGGTGCATAGCTATATCTTCCAAGGAGTTTTACCAAAAAAAAAAATATATATGTTGGGTCGAGTGCAGCTTGCAAGATAAATTAGTGTTCTAATTGTACTAAGATATAGTACTTCAGGGCCAAAATTTTTTTCTCCATTTTCAAGTGGATGAAATGAAAACTTTTTTCACATTAAGTGATTAAATAATCATAAGTGATTCTAATGGATGTGCATTATCCATATAAAAAACGTTTTAAAACTTTTTCTATATATGTAAATTAATGAACAAATAATCTTTCTGAGAAGTATTCAATCTGCAATCCATGAAAAATTTTGAATTTTTCCAAATCCTTTATCTCAAATTCATTTTTCAAACGATCTATAGTTTTGTTGAGCTCTTCATAAGTTTCAATTAAATTTAAATTATCAACATAAACTGTCACAATTGCAAATCTAATATTTATTTTCTTTATGAAAATACATAGGTAGACATCGTCATTTTTATAACTTTCCCTTCAACAAATATTTGCTAAGGCGATTATACCACATGTGCCATTTTATTTGGTCAATCATTATTTCGATCGATATATTTCGACGCATTTATTTTGATTCCTCCCTATATGATGCAGTACATCAAGTACAAAATTGTTATCGACAATTTTTCTTCTCGATTCTATTTCTTTTCCCATAATGACATAAATTATTAAGATATTCCAAGTTTCATTATTTCAAGTACATGAACATTT